AACCGCACATTTTTTTGAGTAAAAGCTGTTTTTTCACAAGACGAAAAATTCGCGCAAAGCGAATTTTTTCGTCTTTAAGCATGCGCAGATTAAAAATTTTTGGCGATTATACTGATTTTTTTTCGCTACAGCGTTTTGCTGCAGCGAAAAAAAAAGTCGGATTAGTTTCGACTTTTTGCGAGTCGCCATAAGCGAAAACCAATAAAATTTTGAATATTATATCACGTGATGCCAACATTAAAAAAAATACGCTTTTAAAGTAACAATAAACAAAATTCTTAACATGGCGTTCTTATTAATTTTATATGAACTTACTCTGAAAATTGGCAAGCATGAGTAAGTTTATCAAACAAGGGGCAAGACTTACATAAAAAATTGACCAGACTTTTATATATAACTAAATCGAGAATTTACATTTGAATAGCGTAACATTGACAATTAAATTAAGTTTGATTATAATAAACTAAATATCTTCACTAAAAATAAAGATATTTAAAAAATTTAAAAAAGTTTTTGATTTTTACTGTGTGGAAAATTATAAATTAAAAAAAAAATATTTTTATGATTGCTTTAATAAGATATTTAAGTTCAAACAAAACCCTTAAAATTAAAATTTTTTATTCGAAGTTAGGTTCTTAGCATGAAAGTTTTAAAAAAGGAATTTAAAAACAAAGGAAGCTATTTTGTTGGAAATTTTTTGCTAATTTCAAAAATATTTTTTTAGAATTTTATAATCTTACTCCGTTAAAAAGTTATGACGGAAATAAAATTTTCTTTAGTTTTCACTTTAAATTGGACACAATAAATCCACCCTAAAATAAATTAAAATTTAATAATTTATGTTTATTATTTTTTCTGTTTCTTTTTTCACTCTAATTGATTTTTTTTATAATGTTAAAATTAATTTTTATTATTTTTTCACACTGACTGAATTATTTTGATTTGGTTTTTTTAAGTTTCCACTTTTGTGTTAATTAATTTTGTTCTTTTGTACTTGTTTACTTATACTGTTGAATTTAAAATGCAAAAGTACACAAAATAACCACAAAAGTGCATTGTTTCTTCAATTTCAAAAATCTGTAACTGAATTGAATTTACTAAACTTTTAATGGCAATATTTACTAAACTTTTAAAAAACAAAAAACGAAAAGCCTTACACTGAGGAGGCAATAAAAAACGCATTGAATAAGATTGAAAATGGCGAGTGAAGCTTTAGAGGCGCAGCTCAATTCTACCGCATACCAAAATCAACTTAATTCCGCTTGTAACTCAAACTTCAATTTTAACTTGAAATGTAACTTCTCAAGAAGAATTGATGACTCGCGTAAAAATCAGTCTCAAAAGAGCTCTCATAAAGCAATTTCAAAAATTTTAACATTATAAAAAAAATCAATTAGGTTTTTTTTATAATGTTAAAATTTTTGAAATTTTCAGTTTTCAGTCAGTGTGAAAAAATCAATTATTTTTTCACACTGACTGAATTATTTTGATTTGGTTTTTTTAAGTTTCCACTTTTGTGTTAATTAATTTTGTTCTTTTGTACTTGTTTACTTATACTGTTGAATTTAAAATGCAAAAGTACACAAAATAACCACAAAAGTGCATTGTTTCTTCAATTTCAAAAATCTGCAACTGAATTGAATTTACTAAACTTTTAATGGCAATATTTACTAAACTTTTAAAAAACAAAAAACGAAAAGCCTTACACTGAGGAGGCAATAAAAAACGCATTGAATAAGATTGAAAATGGCGAGTGAAGCTTTAGAGGCGCAGCTCAATTCTACCGCATACCAAAATCAACTTAATTCCGCTTGTAACTCAAACTTCAATTTTAACTTGAAATGTAACTTCTCAAGAAGAATTGATGACTCGCGTAAAAATCAGTTTCAAAAGAGCTCTCATAAAGCAATTTCAAAAATTTTAACATTATAAAAAAAATCAATTAGATTTTTTTTATAATGTTAAAATTTTTGAAATTTTCAGTTTTCAGTCAGTGTGAAAAAATCAATTATTTTTTCACACTGACTGAATTATTTTGATTTGGTTTTTTTAAGTTTCCACTTTTGTGTTAATTAATTTTGTTCTTTTGTACTTGTTTACTTATACTGTTGAATTTAAAATGCAAAAGTACACAAAATAACCACAAAAGTGCATTGTTTCTTCAATTTCAAAAATCTGTAACTGAATTGAATTTACTAAACTTTTAATGGCAATATTTACTAAACTTTTAAAAAACAAAAAACGAAAAGCCTTACACTGAGGAGGCAATAAAAAACGCATTGAATAAGATTGAAAATGGCGAGTGAAGCTTTAGAGGCGCAGCTCAATTCTACCGCATACCAAAATCAACTTAATTCCGCTTGTAACTCAAACTTCAATTTTAACTTGAAATGTAACTTCTCAAGAAGAATTGATGACTCGCGTAAAAATCAGTCTCAAAAGAGCTCTCATAAAGCAATTTCAAAAATTTTAACATTATAAAAAAAATCAATTAGGTTTTTTTTATAATGTTAAAATTTTTGAAATTTTCAGTTTTCAGTCAGTGTGAAAAAATCAATTATTTTTTCACACTGACTGAATTATTTTGATTTGGTTTTTTTAAGTTTCCACTTTTGTGTTAATTAATTTTGTTCTTTTGTACTTGTTTACTTATACTGTTGAATTTAAAATGCAAAAGTACACAAAATAACCACAAAAGTGCATTGTTTCTTCAATTTCAAAAATCTGCAACTGAATTGAATTTACTAAACTTTTAATGGCAATATTTACTAAACTTTTAAAAAACAAAAAACGAAAAGCCTTACACTGAGGAGGCAATAAAAAACGCATTGAATAAGATTGAAAATGGCGAGTGAAGCTTTAGAGGCGCAGCTCAATTCTACCGCATACCAAAATCAACTTAATTCCGCTTGTAACTCAAACTTCAATTTTAACTTGAAATGTAACTTCTCAAGAAGAATTGATGACTCGCGTAAAAATCAGTTTCAAAAGAGCTCTCATAAAGCAATTTCAAAAATTTTAACATTATAAAAAAAATCAATTAGATTTTTTTTATAATGTTAAAATTTTTGAAATTTTCAGTTTTCAGTCAGTGTGAAAAAATCAATTATTTTTTCACACTGACTGAATTATTTTGATTTGGTTTTTTTAAGTTTCCACTTTTGTGTTAATTAATTTTGTTCTTTTGTACTTGTTTACTTATACTGTTGAATTTAAAATGCAAAAGTACACAAAATAACCACAAAAGTGCATTGTTTCTTCAATTTCAAAAATCTGTAACTGAATTGAATTTACTAAACTTTTAATGGCAATATTTACTAAACTTTTAAAAAACAAAAAACGAAAAGCCTTACACTGAGGAGGCAATAAAAAACGCATTGAATAAGATTGAAAATGGCGAGTGAAGCTTTAGAGGCGCAGCTCAATTCTACCGCATACCAAAATCAACTTAATTCCGCTTGTAACTCAAACTTCAATTTTAACTTGAAATGTAACTTTTCAAGAAGAATTGATGACTCGCGTAAAAATCAGTCTCAAAAGAGCTCTCATAAAGCAATTTCAAAAATTTTAACATTATAAAAAAAATCAATTAGATTTTTTTTATAATGTTAAAATTTTTGAAATTTTCAGTTTTCAGTCAGTGTGAAAAAATCAATTATTTTTTCACACTGACTGAATTATTTCGATTTGGTTTTTTTAAGTTTCCACTTTTGTGTTAATTAATTTTGTTCTTTTGTACTTGTTTACTTATACTGTTGAATTTAAAATGCAAAAGTACACAAAATAACCACAAAAGTGCATTGTTTCTTCAATTTCAAAAATCTGTAACTGAATTGAATTTACTAAACTTTTAATGGCAATATTTACTAAACTTTTAAAAAACAAAAAACGAAAAGCCTTACACTGAGGAGGCAATAAAAAACGCATTGAATAAGATTGAAAATGGCGAGTGAAGCTTTAGAGGCGCAGC